ATCGTGGTTGCCCAGAAAAAAATGCATAACCCCCACATTTAAAATTAATATTGAATTTATGAGAAAAATGTATCAAACTATTAATGGCGATCGAGCATATGACTTTTTAAAAGATTTAATCATGATTTTGGTGCTAATTAATTACCTAAAGTTATTTTTTTGTAACCCTTATAAAGACCACATATTTCCCAAGTTCGATAATACGGAAGAAACGAATAGTGGTTGCCCAGAAAAAAATGCATAACCCCCACATTTAAAATTTATATCGAATTTATAAGAAAAATGTATCAAACTATTAATTGCGATCGAGCATATGACTTTATAAAAGCTTTAATCATGATTTTGGTGCTAATTAATTATTTAAAGTTAATTTTTTCGTGACCCTTATAAATACCATGTATTTCCCAAGTTCGATAATACTGAAGAAACAAATCTTGGTCGGCCACAAAAAACTTGGATTTCGCCCACATTTAAAAATTATGTATAATTTGTGTAAATATAAAATTAGAGGCGTAAATCAGATAGGAAACAGGTTTATTATTTGTAATAAACCATATAAAACATTTTTGCGGTGAGTTTTCCAAATTTTCCATAATTTTGAAAACAAATATTGTCCGGTCCATCTAAAGACAAGATTCGAATATTGCGCCACGATATTTTACCCCTCTGGCCACGATACATTTCTACTAGGGTATAACCTCTGAAATTTTAAAACATTTGGGCCAATATCCCTACCTAAATATTGCATTATAAATATATGTCAGCAGAACAATTGCTTTATCTATTCCTGCACTCTTCTTATTGTTTATAAGTCTAATAAACTCTTTTATTTCTTTTCGTGTTACTTTTTTATAATTGTAGAATCATCATGAATTGCTTTTAGAGCAATTCTTACGTCGTTGTCAATAACGTCATTATTTGTAGTGAACACATCTGATAAATAAATTGCAAACAAATTTGCCTTTTCTTGGTCACTTTTGGCCCATTCGCCTAATGATGGTGATTCCATTCTTATTGGGGCGTTGAAATGGATTGGTTTCTTCAAAGATTTTATAGGTTTCCATATCGAATAATCGTATCTATTAAGATAAGTAATGTATTCCGCTACACTGTTGTTCCGCATGACTTTCAACTTTTGTTTTAGTTCATTCGATAAATTGTTGAATACAGTTTTATCCCTAGGATTACGTGATCTTTGCCATATTTTCCTTGCTCGTCTTTTTTTCCTTATTAATATTTTAATTTCCATTGGTATATTAGACGTTGTATTGCTATATGTTATATGTGGAGTTGTATTTTGTAGATTTTATCAGAGTATTTATATAAAAATTTAAGTTATTCTCTATATCTGCTTCAGATTTCAATCTGACTTTAAGGTCTAATTTAGCATCGATTTCTTCTCTAAAAGAGTTCCAGTTTGTTTCACTATTAAAAAGACCATTAATTTTTTTCACTCTTATTACTATGGTGCTAATTGTTGCTATAATAGGTCTGATGATAAATCTGAATTATCTTCTATGTTTGTGTATGAATCAGAAATTCCATTTATTATATAAAAATCTAGAAGGTCAGGGTGTTTGTTTCTATCCGTAGGTCAATAAGTAGGTTTTCCAGTTGATAAGAATTAATAATTTTTGTTTAAAAGTAATTGTGCCAACTGCTTACCTTTAGGAGTGGTAAGTCTAGAGCCCCATAATGTATTTTTGCTATTAAAATCACGACCCACTACAAATCTGTGTCCTAATGTATCAAAGAATGTTTCATAATCATCTGTTTTCATCCTGTGACGTGGTGGACAATATACAGAAGAGACAATGATATCATAAGGAAATGTATTAATGCAAATTGTAGATGCTTGCAAGTAATTTTCTTGAAAATTTGTCAGTGTGTAGTGTGAAATACTGTTTTTAATCAATATTCCAGATCCAGCGTGTGCAGTATTGTCTGGGTGATTAGTATTATAGAAAGAATAGAAAGGAATCTTGAAATGTAGATTATTTGTTAAATGCGTTTCACTGATTAGCATCACATCAATCATATGTTGTTGTAAAAATATTATTAATTCATTTTTATGGTTTAGAACACCATTTGCATTCCATTGAGCAATCCGAAGAAACTTGGCCATTAATTTTTAACTAATTTGGATAACATGTTCATGACTAACCTGTTTTGCTCCATTAGTTGTTGGAACATGTTTTTAAAATCATTTTTTAATGTGATAAGAGCAACGGTTACCTGTGACTGTTCGTTTTCGTTATTTCGTTGTAACTTTAATACTTCTGAGTAACTTCTATGGTCACTGTAAGAATAAGCTAATGGACGTCTGGTTTCTTCTGTTTTGATGTTTTAACTCTATCCGTGGTTCGTCTTCCTTCTTGAAAGTAGTAATTATGTTGTTTATTATAATCCTTGTAAAAATGACAATCTTTGTAGTTTGCCGGATGAGCACCACCACATAGAATACATGTTGCTGGAGAAGATCTTTCTTTCTTACATACTGAAGTATTATGAGGTCCACCGCATTTAACGCAGACAAAAGGTCTGTTGCAATAATTTTTGGAATGTCCATACATTTGACATTTTGTACATTGAATAACACCTTTGCCTTTACGTGGCGGTTCCACCACAATCATATGATTAAGCAATTTTTTTAGTTTATATATTTCGCCATTGTTTTCTGCAGGTTCTAAATCAACAAAAAACATGTTTAAGGGCAATTTGGTTTTGTGTTGTTTCACATTAATTATACACCTTACTTTAAAATTAAGTTTCTCTAATTCATTTTTTATCTCATTGGTGTCATATGTATGGTGTATATTTTCAATCACAACTCTATAAGACCGTTCCTGGTTTATCTGATAAGTGTGATATACTACATTTTTCATTTTAAAAAACTTGATTACTGCCCTGTATTGGTCAGGTAAATTAGTGTTTATTCTAATTATATCATTCGGCATAGATTTAAGTATATAATCATTTTCATTCATGATTTTATTTAAATCACTTCTCATATCCGGAATTGACAAGATAAAGAATTGTTCAAATTTTCATGAAGGCAGGTCTAGCGGTTTAGGAGATCTAGTGAAAAAAGTAAAAAGAAAATAATATTTGGCGGTCAAAAATGATCATTAGATATAAGTACATCAAATTATCAGATGTTTTATAGAGTTTTCAACAATAAGTATGAATTTTGTTTACATTCCTATCGGTTCAGTACCAATGTTTATCCGTTAGACGGCGACGCGGCGCTTACGCGCTTTGACATTTCGTCTCTATTGCAGTTAAAACAGTACGATTGCTTTGAAAAAAAAAGTTCAGAATTTCCTAAATACTATTTCAAAATAAAAAAAAACATTTTTTTTCAACAAGTCTTTTTTTTCCAAAAAGTAAATTTTTTCGAAAAATGTAATTCTTTTTAAAAAAAATAATTTTTGGTCGGAAAGTCTCAGCAATTTGCCTTAAGGCAAATAGGCCTTACTAGTTTTTAGGTAGGATTCAACAGATGGTTTTTTGATTTAACATCATATAAAGCGTGAACAATAGAAAAATAGTAAATAAAAATATAAATTCAGTTAAAAAATCAAATTTGAAAAAAAAATTCAATTATTAATTATTTGAACTCTGCCTATTAATATTTTTGACGCCATACCAGATCAAGGTTATATACAATGTTATCTTTGCAAAAAATGCACCCATGGAATTTATATTTTGTAGTGTTAAAATATTGTAGCTATTATTTTGTAAAATTCCTTTAAAATAATAAAAGAGCGCGTAAGGTTCACACGCGATTGAAGTAAAACTTATTTGCTACTGTACAAGATGGCATTTAAGTAAAAATAAATACGTCATATGACAATTTTGTATAATGTTTATTAGTAATATGGTAACACTCGTGATGCACACATTTATTAGTGTCAACCATTATACATATTTATATAATGATAAATTATAAATTATATATTTATAACAGCGTTAAAAATATGTATTTAAAGTAATAGTTCTAATGTGACATGATCGGTTTGTCATCGTAATTAGCATTTAAAAATGAACCTTTATTAGATAAATGAAGTAATTGCTGATTAAAAAATTCTATAATATTCGTTCACCCAGTGGATTATGTTAAACAACGTCTACACAAATATTTTTTTTGCCACTTCACTCATCATGTAATAGTGTTTGAAGAACTTCACCTAATTACAATTAACATGCATTCATTGACTGCATGTATTTTTTTCACTTTTTCGCTGGCCATATAATCTTATTCTTTGAATAACTGTAATATCTGTCTGGCCTGAAAAATATTTTCATTTTAATAACTTCAAAGATTTATAGAAACTACGAATAATATAGTAATAATTTCTAATCATTAATCTTATTAATCAATATATTTAAGGTACAGGATAAAATATTCTTCTGATTCGGGATTATTCATTAAATCAAGATTTGTACTACGATGTAACTTTAAAATGTTTATTTATCACTGCCGATTTCCTTGTCGATATCCGTACGCGTACAACGTTGCTCCCGGTACGCATACAACGACCGATATTCGCATACACGACGACTAATCACAATCGACCCGTATAGAAACGATATGATCGAGAGCGAATGACGAATCATTGGCACTCGACTCTTATCTCATTTTATCTATCGTAACACACTTCCGTTGCATTTGTACGGATTTACACCCTAGTCGCGCCTGGCTATCTCATTTTATACCGCGTGCGAGGCAAATCGGAACTGATGACAAGTGACAGAAAAGTAGTAAAAGAAGACACATTTTTATTACATGGTATAATAACTGATTTTTTTTATACGAGTTATGTATTGTGATATAGTTTATATAAATTTAGCCACTATTACTACATAAACTTAATTTGAACCTTTGCGCTATTTCCTATTATGCCTGGGAAAAATTAGAAAATATGAACAAGAAGGCATTTTCGGTAGTTGTTGTAAAAATGTCTAACAATTATGTAAAGTAGTGGTATTGTTTGCAGATACGAGATGGCATGTATGGATTTTCGATGCAAATTGGGCAATACTGCGGCCAGGAATTTCCGCCAATGGTGACATCAAGGGATAGACATCTATGGTTACATTTTCAGAGTGATGAAAATATTGAATACTCCGGATTTAAAATGGTTTACGAATATATATTACGCCCTACAACATGTAAGTTTTTTCAATTCCAAACAATATTTATTGTAAATTTTATATATAGTTTGATTTAAGAAACCTATTAGTAATGCAAACTAAAACAGAACATTATAAATTTAACGAAATAATATAAAAATAATAAAACCCCAAAGTCTACTTGTTTAATATTATATAATTTATATTAACAATATCGGTCGGTCAATATTTTGTTAATACAATAAAACTGAAAGTTTTATAAACTTTTTATGGAAAACGTGGTATAGTCTAATCCTAGTCTTTATTAAATTTTTTGTAAATTCTGGATTTTGTATAGTTATAAATAATACTACTGAGTATATACAAATTTTCAAATGTTTCAAGTGTTTTTTCTTCACCTGATACTTTAAATGTTTCACGTAACATTTACATGAAATAAAGTAAATTTGATAGAAATTATATACGTAGAGAAGGGAGGGGCACAAAGGTTCAACTTGACTTTGAGCAAATGTAAATTATATAGTGAGAATCTTACCAATTATATAACGACAAATAACACATATCAAACGAACTTACTATGTTCAATGAAATTGCCAGCTAGTTCATTATCGTAGAGATGAGTGTTTTTTGCTGTTTCAAAAATTTGTTCTCTAGTCTTTTTACCCCATAGGCTAGGTAACTTGGGACGGCCAGGTAGCAAATTTTACTCCATAGGCTAGGTAACTTGGGGCAGATTCAATGCTTTATTTTAATTTTAACAAAGTATTTTTGATATTTTTAATATAATTATTAAAGTATTTTACAAAATAATAACTACATTACTAAACTAATGCAATATTAAGTTACATTGGTGCATTTTTTACATAGATAAAACTATAAATTACTTTGATCTGGTATTTTGTCAGAAATATTTATTTGCAGTATGGAAATAACTATTCATATAATCTATCTACTGTAAAAATGCTTTATTTAACTTACTTTACTTTGTTATTTGTTATTTTATAATAGCAAATAACGTATTTGCCAGGGTAAATATTTATTTTTATATAACCACTTTAAAAGCTTACTCATCCAGATGTAAGATTTTAAATTGGTTATATAAAAAAAATTGTTGAATATCATTCAAAATTAGCATTACATTTTACAAAACAATTATATAAGTTTAAATTTATATTAAGATATCTCATACTAAATCACTGTGCTCACAATCTAAAATACTAACAACGAAAGAAAATACTTTTGTTATAGATTTTCAAAGATCACCGTTTTTCTCGAATAGTAAAGTCGTAAGAATCGAAGTGATGAGTCATGATACATCATTTGCCCTCTACTTTCATATATTGTAGTTGAACAATGCTTATCTTTACTGGTTTTTGATATATCGATAGTAGGTCTCATTAACCCCGGACCTTCATATATCACTATCCATTCTTTGATAAATTCATAGCAAATTTTGCCAGTTTATTCTTCAAAATTAGTGGAAACTTTAACCTTTAATACAAACTTATAGAGCTGAAGTGTTTCATCTTTTTCAATTTGTAGAGTATTTTAATGAAACATGAACAATTCCTGACTGTGTCTAAAACGCATAGGTTTTGACATATCGTTTGGAAGGATTGCCTTTAAAACTGTAGGACATTTTTCAAGCCTTAAATAATATACATAGTGAATCATTATTCTGCTAAACTCGTTCTAATACTGTTGATACATTTAATAGAATACGTGCTTTATTATCAATTTTTAAATTATTGCATTCCAGAGCACTTGAAATTTTGTGCTTTGACATTTTTATAAGTGTTCCAAAGTTCAAATCTTCTTATTTAAACTGTTGTCTATTATAACTGGGAATAAGTTATTTGACAAAATGTCCCCTTTAATCGATTCCAAATTTAAGATCTTAATTTAAAAAACATAAATAAAAACCAATATGATCTAGAAAGTATTTTATAAATACAAATAATTTCTTTCAAAGCAAAGAGTTTTAAAAATATGATTTCAAAAAAAGAGTGCAATAAGCCACAAATTGTATTTTTATGCTGCGGCTTTTATTAAAATCCACCTGATTAAAATTCGAATCTTTTTGACAACCAACATTTCAAACCTTTTGTTAAAAAAAATTATATCAATCCAAAAATAAATAAAATTCGGATTAAAATTTGAATCTAATGGTTCAATGCAATTGACTTAAATACTTTAGTTTTAAACTTGATGAAGTGAATAGAAGAGCTCATTACAACAATTATAAAATATAACCAAGTGACTTAAGTCAAAGCGTTATATCGTACGTAAATTGGTATTACGTCCAGTTTACGTTGCTAACATTTTAACATATGTTTTATGATGTTGTATTTAGGAATGGTTTTATTGGTCGCATACTATTTGAAACTTGCTATAAGCCCTTAATATTTTCTTTGAAAAGTTTCCAGAAATATTTGATTTTTGGAAATCATCGATTTTACTGTATTTTGTTTTTTCAACTTTCCGTAGGGTAAATTATAGTAATCGCAAAAAAAATCGAAAATGAAAATTTTTATATATCTTTACGTATCAGAGGTATCTGAACATTTTGACATACCTTAGAATAAATTGATGTATGTGTGTGCGGATACAAATTTTCGTCGACGACTTTGGGAACACCGGTTAACTGATTTGAATAATACAAAAGACATTCGATTTGTAATGATAAGGAGACGTGCTGATTAGTTTTTGGCATAAGTAGGTCTAGCCGTTTTGAAGATACGGAGAACAAAGTGCCACAAATGTTAACTCAGTTTTTAAAAAAAACTGTTTTAAAAAAAAGTAAAAAAAAAATCCATTTGGCGGTCAAAAATGATCAATAAAAATATGCACATCAGATATTTTATAGAGATTTTAACAATAAGTATAAATTTTGGGTATAAATAAAGTATTAAGTATAAATTCCTATGGGTTCCGTACCAATGTTTATCCGTTACACTTACTCTATGCAGTTAAAGCAATACGATTGCTTTGAAAAAAAGTTCAAAACTTCCAAAATATTTCAAAATAAAGAAAACAGTTTTTTCTAAGTCTTTTTTTTTTTCAAAAAAAGTTTCTTTCAAAAATTTATAGTCCTTCACCCATCTAATTTTTTCAAAGTAATTTTTTTCCAAAATGTTAATCTTTTTTAAAAAATAATAATTTTTGGTACAGGAAGTTTCAGAAATTTGCCTTGAGGCATGATGCCATGCGCCCCACTAGTTTTAAATTGTGATTCAAATAAAATAAAATTTATTATAAGTAGGGTCCCGATTCGGCAGCCCTACTCGGTCCGTATACGATTGGTAACCCCTTAACGGATACGGGCCAAGTACGGAAAACTGTTCCGGTCCATAATCGGTAACCGTAAATGGCCCCTATAAGAATATCGAGCTTGGTCCTTATTTCGAAATTACCATATTGCACTGTAAAATATAATTGACGTTGCTCAATAAAAAAAACTGACATATATTACTTTATTTTTTTATTCCATCATTGACAATGATAGTAATATTATATATAATAGTTATTATAGAATGAAATGTACAGGTATATATATATATATATATATATATATATATATATATATATATATATATAGTTCGGGCCAATTCATTATTGAAGTAAAATTAAGCGATATGGGCACCTTTTTATATGAAATATATGTGTTATTTAAATGAATTTGGACTGCAAAATTATATATCGCAAATAACTCTTTAGCCAGCAAAATTTTTAATAAAATACTGTTTTTAATAAGTAAATATATTAATTTAGGCATGTGAAGGTTTAGGTAGGTTTTTAAATCGGGTTTAGTTTGTTGTTATTTATTTCCATCAGAGTGCGCTAGTATTTTTTTATTATAATTCTAGAAATTTCGAAAATAATATATTAACGTGACAAATCCGCATAAATCTTTATTCAGTTCTTTACTAGGGCGTCAAGTAGCAAAGGCGAATTCTTATTTAAATTCAGGCGCAAGTGCCAGTAATTTGAATCATATGCGCTCACATGATCAAATTACATTTGGACCAGCAGAAGAATTTACAGGAGTGAATCTTCCGACAATTCTGGAAATTATCAGGTATTATTTTTATTTGGCGGAAAAATAAAAAAAAACAAAATAAAATGTTTTCATATAAAACATTTACTCCAAATGTGGTAACGAAATTGATTCAGACGTGGGAAAAAATTGATATTCCAATTATGAAGAAACGAAGTATCGCTAGAAAATTGAACCGATTGATTGATAAATATAAAAGTACAAATAAAAGCAAGTCTACCCAAGCATCATTTCAGGAGTTTGTAGAATCCACGAAAGTGTGGGGATATCAAGCAGGCTGGTTTAGATTTTGTAAAAAAACAATGGGACTTGTCATGTATATTTTTCATATTGTAATATTTTTATAGTCAATAAATTTGATATATTTTTTATGTTGGGAGTTTCTAATTTAACATATTGTCATAATCATTACAACTCCCACATTGGTGACTCACGACGATGGAGATGAAGACAAAAAAAAGGAGTTTTATTTTTCGAGGATTTAAGAAAAATTGATTTTGACGCAGCAACATAATCACTGGTCTTCAGAGACGACCTATAAGGTACGTCCAGTCCAATCCATCAAAGTTAACGCACTTACTATCTGGATCAGACTTCCGAGGTTACTCATTTGGTATACCCAGACCTCAGTGTTTATTGCTGACAGAAAAAAATAATTTGGAGCTTGAACTTTTCATTGGAATGCAATTCAACCTCTCTTTCTCTGTTAACTCAACAAATCGTCTTATAATGCTACCTCCCATTATCGGTGACAACGACGAGTCAAAACAAAATTTGACATAATTTATTGGATTGCACAATTCTGGACTCTTATGTCAAAGAAACCAATGATCCTGATTTGGATAAAGAGCCAACTTCTTTCTCTGATCGGAACTCATCAGATACGAATGCAACGCTTGCAGAAATGGAAACTGTACCCATAAATTATGCATTCTAAACATTAATCAGAACCTTATGCAGAATATGGAGTTGATGGCAGGTC